GTGCTACTTGAACATAATGCAGTTACATAATGATTGACGAAAGATGACATGTCAAAAAGGGAGTGCAAGGTTATTTATTATTATTATTATTATTGAATTGAAGAAATTTTAATCCAATCAAATTTTACCACATCATGTTATATCAACCATTATGCAACGAAATTATGTTCGTATAACACAATCGTATCAAAATAGTGGGAATAAAAGTGTCACTTTAACACTTCGCTGGCAATGAGGAAATGGAATGAAATGAAATGGCAATGCCTGACACCTTGTCTCCTAGACCTCCCCCATTCTAGTATAGTACTACCATGACAGAATATATACCGTGCGTCCTTTGCCTAGTACTACCTATAACTGCCATGTCATTCACAAATTTTGTCTTCTTAAAATGTGTCTACTACAAATAAATATATTTGTCTCAATTGAATGAATGAGCAATTCACTATAAACAAATATTAATCTTTTTTTTTCTAATCAGTGACAAAGTCAGAATTCTTTGATAGGAAGACGAAAATATTGCTGAGGGGCAAAATATTTATAATGTATATATTTATTTTTTTTTTTCGAAATCCATATTTAATTTCAAAAAAATTTGAAATGTTACGGGGCAGTCACCATCTCAACCCTCGTTCTCGTGTCACTTAATCTAACTTATAACATTAAGTATCGAACCTCCGAATTCTATTATGCAAGATAATTGATTGACGATTCCACGCAATACCACTTAGAAAAAAAGCAGGATTTGATTCCTAATGATGAAAGTCGTTTAATACAGTTCTTCAATATTCATTAGTGTTGTGTAGATAGTTCTAAAGACGAAAATCGTTTAATGTGGCATTGATGAATCATATTAATATTTACGATGACTTGCTAAGATTTATGATTGGTTTAAGAATGAACTCCATTTTATAAATAATCTGAGATCTTGTTTACGATCTTATGTCACTGTTATAGAACAGTAAACAAGAGAAACAATAAATAAATTTTCCCTAAAACTACCTTTGACTGTCCTTTTATTAACAAATTTTGTCTTCTTAAAAAGTGTCTTAGCACAAAAAAATATATTTGTCTCGAAATTAATGAATGTACCTAAATTTAATTTGCTCCAAATTTAAATGTGATACGTGTGTACCTAAAAAAAACTAATAGATTTTTTATAATCAAACTAAACATCGACTTTTTAGTTTAGTTCAATTTTCGATTCTAAATCTAGAACCAATGAAATAAAAAGTAAGAATTTTTTTATATATATAATCAAATTGAGCAACAAATGATTAAATGGTTGGTAAGCATTACTAATACCATAAAAATATTTTATTTCCATTATCTAATTTAAGTTTCATGTTTTTTTTTACCTTGTAAATTTGATGATTCTGAGCGAATGAATCAATGTGATGGAAATGAAATTTGCTTATGGTTCTTCTTCCTCTTTATTTTGAATTCTTTGCCTCAGTCCATATGAAAACATATATGTGTAGCAGATAGGTTGGGGTCACAAATTACAAAAGCCCTCATGGTTAGCCGAGTTGGCATGAGCCTCAAAATGCATGGTTAGCACGAAGGGCTCATCCTTTGTTTTATACTCTTTTGAACTTTCATTTTTATTTAAAAAAATTCACTTGGATCCCACCAACACACGTAGTATCTATAGTTTAAGAATGATACCCCATTTTATACATAATCCGAGTTTACCACATTTTCGATGTAATGGTTACAGAACCAAACAAGAGTAAACAATAAATTTAATTACAATATCTTCTATATATTAAAAGTGGCTATGTAACGGAATTTCTTGTTTTTAACTGAAAAACTAACGGAATTTGTTATTTTAACGGACTATGTAACTGAATTTCTTGTTTTAAACAGGTAGCTGCACCTTCCTTCAATGTTTTTATCATAATTTTGTATTCCGATATCCGATTGATGCGATTCAAAATGCGTTGGAAAGCTAACTCATCTGGCTACAACTTTGATGTAGACATCATTCTCCAATTCAATCACTTTCTATGCCAAAAATAGGTCTCAATATGAGACTAAAATATCGGAACATAACTTTTCGGTTGGAAATTGATTTGTGATCATCTTTTGACTAAATTTGATTCCATTGACGTCTTCCTTTATCCAATTGACTCCGAGCACTCTCAAATCTTCATCGTGAGGTTCGGCACAACTTTTAAG